GGCCAAATATTGTCCTATCCTAACAAATCATACATCAATGGAAAGCTTATTTATTCAAAAAATTTACCCTTATGACTGGTTTTGTGCTCCAGGGTCACATATATGTTATGAACAGAACTTCTGTAATTAATTCTGTGATATTTCCAAAACATACTGAAAATACTTCAGCCGTAAATGTCCTGAGGGAGCGAAGGCGGAGCGATGTTTCTGATATCAGAAGTGCAGTGATTATTGAATGGCGCTCACAATCTCCCTGCAGTTCCTGTGTACGGTGATGGCCATCCTGCTGCACTTCCTCTGGCTCTGCGTCTTCTCCTGGCTCTTCCTGGAGGGGCTGCATGTGTACCGCATGCTGAGCGAGCTGCGCGACATCAACTACGGCCCCATGCGCTTCTACTACCTGATTGGCTGGGGAGTGCCGGCCTTCGTCACGGGTCTGGCGGTGGGACTGGACCCCGAGGGCTACGGGAACCCCGACTTCTGCTGGCTCTCGCTCTACGACACCCTCATCTGGAGTTTGGCGGGTCCCGTCGCGTTCGTCGTGTCGGTGAGTGCTCGCTTCTGTTCGCACAAACTCACAAGGCTGTGACGACGCGTTTAACGGTCATCAGCATCGTGAATCTATATAAGTATATTTATAACACTATACTTTGTATTATAACATCTTTGCATCAAATAAAAAAAAACTATGACGACTTCTGCTGCTGAGAAACATGCAAATGTGAAAAAGGTCCATTATGGTAATCGATTAATCTAGGGATTATTACGATTAATCTGCGATTATTTCAGTTAATCGACTGAACAGTTATCTACACTATATGTACTCATGCTGCTTTGCCGTTTTGCACACTAAGATCTTCCTTGTTTTGTCTTTTATTTGATCAGTCATTTTACACTTTGTTTTATATATATATATGTTTGTGTTCTTACACTAATAGAGGTGCTTTAAGAATTTCGTTGTTTACTCAGAGCTATTCATTCATTCTATTATTCAGCTTTTATAATTAGTGAAAATAGTGAGTTACATATATTCTAACTAATAAGTAAAACAAGGCCACCACGTCAGCTTTTGAAAATTACAAACAATTATATTACTATTGTATCATTATAGCATTTTTTTACAATACATATATATATATTTGGCACTCAAAATTAGATGACAGAGACATTGTCATTCTTTATTTAATTAACTGTATGAAAAAAGCAACTCATCATTCTGCTTAACATCTTTTGTAAGTCATATGGATGTGCATCAAAATAATAGTGACATTTTATTTTTGGAAAAATTATTTTATTCAAAACATTACCTCTCTTAAAATACCTTATAGAGTTATAATAATCAATACTGTCCTGAGCTAGATTAAGCTATAATCTATGCAAATCAAATTATCACTTTAATGTAATGTTTTATTTATTTATTTTTGCATTCGCTAATAAAAGGTTTTATCGTTAGTTTGCTCCACAATGGAGAGCTGCTTTATAACTAGGACTCCTTATAACACAAAATCAGCTAAAAGTGACACTGACACTGTTTTTTCATGTTTAATACTGTAAAGCTGCTTGCTTTAATACAAAAAATAAATATAAAAAAGCGTGACGTGACTGGAGTGCTGATTGCAGAGCTCATGTAAGCATATCCACATCGCTATGATCAGATGCTTTCTTAACTGCTCTTTTCTTACCGCTGTCATTTTTGTTGTTTATTTCGTTATTGAGAGAAAAGCGCACAACACACAGCTGCGTTTACACACCAAGAACAATAACTATAAAGATAACGATATTAGCGTCCACACCAGCGAACGATATCGTCTGTTACTCTAAGCGCATGTGCGTCTGCCGCTTTAAATGTTTTAATAATTCTCTTTAAATATTCAATTATATATCATTTGAAATTTTAAAAACCTCAAAATTCATCATGTGAAAACTATTTTGAAATCGGACATTACGTTACCATGGAAATGGTACTTTAAAATCTTTTAGTGGGCTCCTCCCCCTTAGTGGGCGGTGTCAAGTGTCATATTACAAAATGTATTACGGTATTTTACAATCAAACTTTTTAGAATCTTAACAAAATGCATATCATCGGAAAGGTTCGAGTCTCAAGATTCCATATTTTGTGATAGAAGTAATACTGACAGAGAGATTTAGACATTTGTGACAGAAAAAAACTTTAAAAATTCAGTGGAGTTTGCATGGCATCCTCAATTTTTTTCATATCAACTTCAAATTTGGAACATAACTTATTTAGACACAAGGCTTTATATTGAGAACGATTTTTAGACCTATATCTTTATCATGATGTTTATAGTTATCGTCCTTGGTGTGAACGGGCCTTAACAGTCTTGTGCAACAGCGCCACACTGGTCAAACTGTGTTACTGCAAGCATTAGGTCAAATGAGATCAAGACTATTCGACAACAAAAATATTTGTAGAGTTTTTTGTCGACTAATGGTTTCAGCTCTAGTCTGCATGCTTCCGCTAGTCTGTACTGAGTATGAAAGCGTGTGTTTCTCTCTCAGATGAACGTGTTCCTGTACATCATGGCGTCGAGAGCCTCGTGTTCGCTCCAGCAGAAGAGCAGCGAGACGAGAGACGTGCCGGCGTGAGTCTCGTTCACACTCAATCCTGAAGTGTGTGTGTGGTGTGTGTGTTAAAGCATGTGTGTGTGTGTGTGTGTGCAGGGCGGGTCTGAGGACGGCGTGTGCCGTGTTGCTGCTGGTGACCATAACGTGTCTTTTGGCGTTGCTCTCGGTCAACAGCGACATGATTCTCTTCCACTATCTGTTCGCCGGATTCTGCTGCGCTCAGGTACCATGAGCTCATCAATGCCCCAGCAATCTCTCCGAACACCTGAGCCTAGCGTCTGATGATCGCATGTGTGTTTGTGTTTCAGGGGCCGTTTATTTTCTTCTTCCGCGTGGTGTTCAATAAAGAAGCTAGAGACGCCATGCGCTACTGCTGCGGCAAGAAACGACCCGATCACATGATCAAATCCAAACCATCCGTGAGTGCCTTCTTACTCAAGACAACAAGTTACCATTAGTTTTATTTGTGATACAAAACTATACAAAGCTCTGGAAAAAAAATGAAGAGACCACTTTACTATACTATTTAAACTGAACTGAACTGGATGATGACGTCACTGAATTAAATGAACTGTCTTTAACTGAAAAATGAGTGTTTACTATTGTCATTTTGCTTTGGTTATAGTGGTGACCAAGAACCTGATGGTCACACTAGTTGATCTCCATGATTATATGTGGAGATAGGAGAAACCTAGAGAAGGACAAACATCGCTGCAACACTCCACCAATCCAGTCTTTATGTCGGAGTGGCCAGACTCAATCCTCTCTTCAGTTAAGACGCATGAAAACACACTTGGAATTTCCAAAAAAGCACCTAAAGGACCCTCAGACTCTGAGAAACAAGATTCTCTGGTCCGATGAACCTCAATTCCAAGCTTCATATTTGAAGGAAACCAGCTCCGCTCATCACCTGCAGAGTACCATCCCAAAAGTAAAGTGTGCTGGTAGCAGCCTCATGCTGTGGGGCTATTTTTCAGCAGCAGGGACTGAGGGACTCGTTAGAGTAGAAGAAACGCTCAGTGCAGCAAAATACAGAGATAGCCTTAATGAAAACCCAGTCTAGAGCATTCAGAACCTCAGACTGGGTGGAAGGTTCACCTTCCAACAGGACAATGACCCTAAGCACAGAGCTAAAATAACGAAGGAGTGGCTTCATAACAACTCTGTGACTGTTCTTGAATGGCCAGAGCCCTGACTTAAACCCAATTGAGCATCTCTGGAGAGACCTAAAAATGGCTGTCCACCAACGTTTACCATCCAACCTGACAGAACTGGAGAGGATCTGCAAGGAGGAATGGCAGAGGATCCCCAAATCCAGGTGTGAAAAACTTGTTGCATCTTTCCCAAAAAGACTCATGGCTGTATTAGATCAAAAGGGTGCTTCTACTAAATACTGAGCAAAGGGTCTGAATACTTAGGACCATGTGATATTTCAGTTTTTCTTTTTTAATAAATCTGCAAAAATGTCAACGATTCTGTGTTTTTCTGTCAATATGGGGTGCTGTGTGTACATTAATGAGGAAAAAAAATTAACTTAAATGATTTTAGCAAATGGCTGCAATATAACAAAGAGTGAAAAATTTAAGGGGGTCTGAATTCTTTCCGTTCCCACTGTAAATAAAGGTGACTTGACTTGACTTGACTTGACTTGACCACTTGAAAATTCTAATTTCTCTGAATTTACTAGGTATGGTTTTGAGTGAAATATTTGTTTTATTCTATAAAGGTCTGATAACATTTCTTTCAATTTTTCAAATAAAAATATTGTCATTTATGCAATTGGTCAAAATAACAAATATGTTAAGGGTTATTCCACCAAATACTGATTTCTTAACTCTCTTCTGAAGTTAAAACATTGGCATTGTGTGGTCTAAAAATCTGGACCAAAATAAAAACTTTTATTTAAAATTAGGAAGAAATGTCATCAGTAGATTACAGAATAAGACAAAAATTAGGTTCCAGTTCTCTGAAACTCCTCATACAGTGCTGCATGCAAAAGCAAAGCTCTGCCTAAGGGCTGTTTCTTGTGTTTGCCTTTCTAATTTTGTATTTTCGCCTTTGTGCCCATATTTCTTTTTCTTTTCTATATCACAATGACATTGTAATGTGTTTCATTTTTTGTCAGACCACTAGTAAAAGTGTAACTGAGTGCTATCCAGTCTCTTTTAATTAATATCCCACATACAGTAATGTGTAGAAGTTTCAATACATTTCAGTACAGTAACTGTCATCCAAACTGTTGTCATAGTTTACATCAGGTAATACTAACAGAGTGCACTGTTATACTGACAACACGACAGCATTTTGACTTGATCTCGTTTGTGAACAATGACACAAGGACTTTTCATTCTGATGGCACTGATGTGTTCATCCCTTTTGCTTTTCAATACAGTGACTGTCATCCAAACTGTTGCCATAGTTTACATCAGGTAATACTAACAGAGTGCACTGTTATACTGACAACACGACAGCATTTTGACTTGATCTCGTTTGTGAACAATGACACAAGGACTTTTCATTCTGATGGCACTGATGTGTTCATTGACATCAATACTTGCTTTTGAGAGATGAACTAAAGATTTTGAATAAGTTACAGGCTTTTGCAGGTAATCCATTGTGTGTTGCTGTTTGTACGAATTGTTTTGAGAAATGCACATACTTCTGTGCAAATATTAAGGATATTCGAGAAATGCACCAACGCGACTGAGAAAAACTGTATATGTTACTTTATTTATACATGTATACATTATTTTTTGTAGTTTTTATTCTTTTGCAAACTTCTGTTTTCATTTAGTGTTTTATTTGAATGAATAATTCCCTTGTAACGATCTCTTAATCTGTCCGTCAGGCGTTTATCTGTAACAGTAATTTTGTGGACGGACGTCTGTATCATCTGCCGTTCGCTGAGTCCAGTGTGTCTCTGAACGGAACCCAGAGCAGCAAAACTCATCAGAACTACATGCCCTTCAGCCTCCGGTACACACACTCACACACACTCACACACACTCTCACTCACACACACACACACACACAC